TAGGGTGTGAGCCTGTGACCTGGCTCAGGAACTAAGTATTCATCATTACTAAGTATTTATCTGCCGACAAAGGTCTGTATACTTAAAGCTATGGTTTTCCCTGTAGTGATGTATGGAAGTGAGAGCTGGACCATAAAGAAGGCTGATCACCAAAGAATGGATGCTTTTGAATTCTGGTGCTGGAGGAGACTCTGGAGAGTCCCATGGACTGCAAGAAGATCAAACCGATCCATTCTGAAGGAAATCAGCCCTGAGTGCTCACTGGAAGGACAGATCCTGAAGCTGAGGCTCCAAGACTTTGGCCACCTCATGAGCACTCCCTGGAAAAGACCCTAATGCTGGGAAAGATGGAGGGCACAAGGAGAAGGGGACGACAGAGGACGAGATGGTGGGACAGTGTTCTCAAAGCTGCCAGCATGAGCTTGACCAAAATGCGGGAGGCAGTGGAAGACAGGAGTGCCTGGCGTGCTCTGGTCCAGGAGGTCACAAAGAGTCGGACACGACTAAACGACTAAACAACAACAAGTATTTATCATTAGAAAAGATTGGCCTGGCACCCCAGGGTATCCAATCAAGTAAGCAGGCAATCCAATCAAGTGACCATTAAACAGGTAACCTGTTTAAACAAGTCACTCAGATTTCTGTTGTAGACCACCTTTTCTGTGATATAAGTATAATGTTTGTGGGGGTGGTCTTGAGCTACACCCCTTCTGTGATGCATGTGTGGTGTATGGAGGGGTGGTCTTGAGCTCCAGGGCAGGGAATTTAAAATGTCTATATAAGGCCTTGAGCCCCATTGTTCTAGGTTCCTCCTCCTTTCCTGCATTTGAGGGGAGCACCCTGTTGCAACAGATCAATAAAGATCAGGCTTACTAGCTGCTTTGATTCTCAATATTCTCTGCTTGGCCTCTGTTATTTTCTCTTACCAATAGGGAACCTATGGAAGGACTCTATATGGGCTCTTGGATACCCCATAAGGGAAGAAGGGCAGATTTTGTTTACAACATCTCAGAGGCCACTCAGATGCCCTTGGGAAACCTACAAGCGGGATCCAAGCACAACAGCCATTCTCCCCTCCTGTGGTTTCCAGAAACTGGTATTCAGGAGCCATCGCTGCCTCCAGCTGTGGAGAAAGACCACAGCCATCCTGGCTAGTAGCCATCAATAGCCCTCCCCTCCATTAATTTATCTAACCCTCTTTTAAGCCATCTAATTGGTCAGCTGTCACCACTTCCTGTGGCAGGGAGTTCCATAGTTCAACCATGCACATGAACAAGCTACACCGTGTGAACAAGCTACACTGGTGACTGGGAGCGGCCGCCGAGACCACATAACACCAGTCTTGAAAGACCTACATTGGCTCCCAGTACGTTTCCAAGCACAATTCAAAGTGTTGGTGCTGACCTTGAAAGCCCTAAACGGCCTCGGTCCTGTATACCTGAAGGAGCGTCTCCACCCCCATCGTTCTGCCCGGACACTGAGATCCAGCACCGAGGGCCTTCTGGCGGTTCCCTCCCTCCGAGAAGCAGTTACAGGGAACCAGGCAGAGGGCCTTCTCGGTGGTGACCCCCGCCCTGTGGAACGCCCTCCCATCAGATGTCAAAGAGATAAACAACTATCAGATTTTTAGTAGACATCCGAAGGCAGCCCTGTTTAGGGAAGCTTTTAATAAATACCTGAAGGACTATTGTATTTTAATATTCTGTTGGAAGCCACCCAGAGTGAGTGGGGGAACCCAGCCAGATGGGTGGGGTATAAATAAATTATTATTATTATTATTATTATTATTATTATTATTATTATTATTATACGAGAGCCAGTGTGTTGTGGTGGTTAAGAGCGGTGGACTCGTAATCTGGTGAACCGGGTTCGCGTCTCCGCTCCTCCACATGCAGCTGCTGGGTGACCTTGGGCCAGTCACACTTCTCTGAAGTCTCTCAGCCCCACTCACCTCACAGAGTGTTTGTTGTGGGGGAGGAAGGGAAAGGAGAATGTTAGCCGCTTTGAGACTCCTGAAGGGGAGTGATAAAGCGGGATATCAAATCCAAACTCTTCTTCTTCTTCTTCTTCTTCTTATTATTATTATTATCAAATCTGTCCTGAAACTTCCAACATTCAGTTTCCTGGGATGCCCTGTTATCAGCAGAAAAGCTTTTCTCTAGCCACTTTGCCAGGCAGTTCTATCGACTCCTCACCTGCTGCCTCTTCAGGGCCTTTTCTCTGAAAAGATCCAAATGCTACAACCTTTGAGTCGCTCCATCCCCTTTCGTGAACCTTCTCCAAGTCCATATTAAGATGGCAAACCCACTTCATCTCACACCTGGAGGCTGCTGCACGACTTTCTACCCCAAAGACCAGAGATTTTCCTGACTTTTCGGGCTGGTGACGCACTTTTCAGACCTGCCTGCATAATTTCACAACACAGTCATTCAGTTTCACTAGCAAAGGTTAAACTGACCCCTTTTCCAGTGTTCGCACGACACACAGACACTCTGCAACCGACACACTAACATGCTGCAACACACAGTTTGGAAAGCTCTGCCACAGATGCACATGGTAGTGGCAGCACCCTGGCCCATGTCTCCCAAAAGCACAGGTACCGATCACAGGTATAACCCCTGGGTTGCAATGTGTGAAGTTGCAGGCTGCCAGTGCTGAACTCACAAATCACACCGCGGAGAGTCTCCCGAAAATGACCAAGGCTGTATTTCTCTTTTAATATTTTTAAATAGAACAGAGCTTGACAGAAGGGGGAAACACGACGACGGACTGTGCATGGCTTACGTTTATTTATGTACAGACTGGGCACCGAAAACGTTGGCTAAGGGTCACTTCCCCCCCACAAATAAGAGGCATAAGCAAGCCTTCCTCTTCGCCCTGTCGTCATCCAGCTGTTTAGGGACTACGACTCCCATCCGCCCCAGACTGTAGCCCCAAACATCTGGATGAGGCCAAGGGGAGCAAAGTTTCCCATAAATAACAAATTCGCCAGGATGTAAGGTCAACAAATTCTAAGGCCACAAAGGGTGCGAGCCACTTGGAACTTCCTTTTTCTCATGGTACGGGGGGAGAAGGAATAAATTGCTCCCTTGCACCGGTTCGCCTTTATGGAGACAGCAGAGAAGTTTTCCAAAAGTCCAGTTAAGAGGTATGTTGGAAGCATTCTGTGGCGAAACAAAAAAGCAGAGTTTGGACAGGGACGACGCCGGCTCTGTCCCCAAGGGAAAAGTGAGGCTGCTCTCCTCCTGCCTCTTCCCTCGTTGCACAAGGCTGAGGGTCACCAGTTTCCTCATCCCTGGGCTTCCCAGATTAAGGTTACCAGACATCCCTGTTTCCCAGGGACAGTCCCCAGATTTACAAATCAGTCCCCAGACAGAATCCATTGAAGTTGAAAAGTGTCCCCAGATTCATTGAAAATAATCTGGTAACCTTATCTCTGATGTTAGACCGCCAAAGCCCATCGGCCCTGACCACTGGGTGTACTGGCTGGCGCTGATGGGATTTCCAAGGGCAACAACAGGTTGGAAAAGGCCAGGTTGCCATTTTGACTTCGCACACTTCCTAGAAAGGGAGTGTCTGTGGAAAATCCAGACGGGCTTTCTGCTCTCTCCCCTCTCCTCCAACAGTCATGGGCAAAGAAAAGCCACCATGGCGAGCAGCCGCCCACAGCCCTCTCCTCCACAAATTTGTCTAATCCTTTTTCAAACGCTGCCTCTTGTGGCAATGAGTTCCATAGTTAACTTCCGCCTCACTCGCTTTTTCAGTTTAGTCCCAAAGTGTGAGAGCACGTGTTGCGGTGGGGTCCGCTGAGTCACCCCTCTGTTGCCAGGTAGGGTTATAAATATTACCCTGGCATTTAATTGGATGGCTGTGTTGCTGGGGGAATTTACTTGTTGCAAATTTGGTGGGAGGGACCAAACTGTTTAAATTCAGAGCACGCAGCTTGAGGCTTTCTCTTTCGCTGCGTGAGCCGAATCACCCGCCCACCCGCCCTGCGTTTGGAAGGTTTTACTTGACCTTCCTATGCCTGTCATGGGGTCGTCTGCCGTTGGGGCAGGGGCCTGGTAGGAATTTGTCCATCTGGCTGATTGGCTGTGCCATTTAGTGCGTAGGAAATCGTCACAACTTGTAAGGTTGGCGGTTAGGCATTGGTTATCAATTGGTTGGAGGAGGGGTAAGGATTGGCTGTGCCTGCCCCTCCAATGCTGCTGCGGAAGGGAATTCTGTTAAAGGAATCCAGGGGCTTGCCACGATTTCGTCCGAATCCCTGGAGAGGGGCTAGGGCCGGCAAGCCCTGGGGAGCATGCGGGTGAGCGCTGAGGGCCTGTGACTCAGCTCCATTGCTCCCCAATATTGTTTTCCCTTCCCTGGCATCCGATGGAGTTTGGATGTCAGTTCTGTCCCCAGGCGGGGGGGGGGGGGACAGATAGCCTTAACCAATGCCTAAGCAACCACTCATAAAATTTGTAAAAGTTGTGGCCAAAATTATGCCAAAAAACCCAAACAAAAATTACGTGTGAGTTGTGAGTTATTTGAGGGGGTGGCTTGGGGACCTCGACACGCAAATGCTGTTGGAGTTGGAGCCCAATGACTTCTAGAGGCCCAGGGGTCCCCGGTTTACTGACTTACCGATCCAAGCTCTGGCAAATTATAGATTTGAGTAAGTGGATCAGACAGGCTTAGGGAGGGGGAGGCTTAGAGTCTGCTCAACACTTGCTTCCAGTTACTGCACCATCTTCCCTTAATTAAAAGAGGGTTTACAAAACATCCCTCCCATAAATTTTCCGTGTAGACTGCAGCAAGCCACTTCTGACGATGGTGGCATTTTGGTTACCTAAGAGGAAGGGGAACGGGACTCTTTGACGTGCACGGAAAAACGTTCCCATGAAAGGACCGTGGCTGGCCATGTGTTGGAAACCAGGGAGGAGTTCTCAGTCTGGGGAGAAGGCCTTCATAGGATCGCAGAATTATTGCAAGGGACCCCAGGGGTCATCTAGTCCAACCCCCGGCAATGCAGAGATCACAGCTGGCATGCGGCCCTTTGGGCGGTTGGACTGTGAAGGATTGTGGCCCCTGGGTTCCCTGCCTCTGCTCCACCCATTAAAGGAAGGATGGATTTTGTGAGTTATTTGGAAAGAAGGGGTTTCGCTTTCCCTCCTTCTGAAGGAGCATGTCCTTGCTCTTTAAACGATCTTAAGAAGCAGAATAAATTTTGTAAAATCCCACTCAAACCATCCACCAAAATCAACGGACAGCGTTGTGAGAGGACATCGGCCAAATGCGTCTTATGGAGTGAGTGCAGGCTGCGCAGTGTAGGAGTGCAAATGGCCAGAGATGTAGTGATCAGGTGGGATTGCTATGAGGAATTATAACAGATATAGAGTAAGCCATCTGTGTCAGCAATGAAAGCATTGCGTTGACTGGGTTTAAACTATTTTGATATGATTCTTGATCAATCTACACCTCTGCATCTCTGGCCATTTGCGCTCCTACACGCAGCTATCCCAGAAGCCACAACAGCAAGAGGGATTGCTGCTTTCACTGCGCACCAATCCCTCTTGCTGTTCTGGCTTCTGGGATTCAGAATATTTTTTTTCTTGTTTTCCTCCTCCAAAAACTAGGTGCGTCTTGTGTTCTGGTGCGTTTTATAGAGCGAAAAATACGGTGTTTGGAACCTCCCAAACAGGGGGTCAGCTTGCCTTGAGCGAATGAAGGGTCACAATGGACTTGCCGTAAAGAACATTTTACAGAACCAATAAAAAGTGAAAACAAGGGAATTGAAATGGACAGTTACTTTACGGAAAGAGAGAGAGAGGAGGGAAGAAAGCAGCAAAATAACCAACAGCAGACAAGACAGTCCGGAGGAAGATGGCACAGTTTTAGCTGCGGATGAGCGTCAAAAACTCTTCCCGGGTCTTTGGGTCTTCCCGGAATACTCCGAGCATCGTGCTGGTCACAGTCTTGCTGTTCATTTTCTGAACCCCTCGCATCACCATGCACATGTGCCTGCGGGGAAAAGGAAGAGGGAGGAGATGCCATCAGGCAAGAAGCAGCGCGGCGAAATGGTTAGAGTGCCGGACTAAGACCTGGGGGAGCAGGGTTCAAATCCTCGCGCGGACATGAAGCTCGCTGGGAGACCTTGGAGTCAGTCACATCCCCAGCATAAAAAAAAACTAATTAAATGTTTCAGAAATAAGAGCACGAGAAGAGCTTGCAGGATCAGGCCAATGGCCCCTCTTAGTCCAGCAGCCTGTTCTCACAGCGGCCAACCAGATATCTGCCTATGGGGAAACCCCTGTCAGGGCCGTCTTACCCATAGGTCATAGGGGTGTAGGGCACCCGGGCGCCGGGCTCTCAGGGGCGCCAGGCTGAGAGTCCAGGGCCTGAGATTTGAGTCCGGGGAAGAGCCTGCTCATCAGTTAGAGTGCCGGGGTGGGCTCTTCTACTGTGGGCGGCTAATTCTCCCCTGGTCTCCTCGCTGGCCCAAATAGGACTAATTTAACCAGCTAGCCCTGGTGATCATCTAATGTCCTACTTGGGCCAGCGAGGAGACCAGGGGAGAATTAGCTGTGGGAACCCAGAGCGGTTAATCTTCATAAAAAGGGGAGGGGGAGGGAAGGAAGGGGAATAAAAGATTAGGCTAAATTCAAATTGAAAGCCAGGTAGAATAGCTCTCTTACAGGCCCTGCAGAAGTTAAATCCTGCAGGGCCCTGGTCTCATGGGACAGAGCATTCCACCAGGTCGGAGCCATCACTGAGAAGGCCCTGGCCCTGGTGGAGGATAGTCTGACTTACTTAAAAACACAAAAATCTGCCTTATTCTGAGCCAGACCACTGGTCCTTCTACCTCAGTACTGTCTGCACTGATGGCAGCAGCTCTCAGGGTGGGTGAGTGTTTCAGTCAGGAGTCTCTCTGGGGATGTTTTTGGGATTGAACCTGGAACCTTCTGCATGCAAATCAGATGCTAAACCACTGAGCGATGCCCCTCCCACCCACAACATTTAACCCCTGGCCGTCCGGGAGAGAGAGGGAGCCCTCTCCCCTCTTAGGTAACTCAGCAGAGCTCTGCGCATGCTTACGTCGCTTCAACCACCACTCCGACCCCCGCAGGCTGCAAGGCTTCCGTGATGGCGATGGCAATCTGTTTCGTAAGGCGCTCCTGAACTGCAGCAAGGAAAGAAAACAGGGCGGGGGAAAGAGATCTGTAACTCTTACGGGACGTCTCTGCAAGTCAAGAAAGGGTTGTTTGGGAGGGGCAGCAAAGCTTCAAAGCACTGGGGGCAGAGATTACATTTCAGAATATTCATTTAAAGGTAAAGGGACCCCTGACCATTAGGTCCAGTCGTGACCGACTCTGGGGTTGCGGCGCTCATCTCGCTTTATTGGCCAAGGTTCCGGGTCATGTGGCCAGCATGACTAAGCCACTTCTGGCGAACCAGAGCAGCGCACGGAAACGCTGTTTACCTTCCTGCCGGAGCGGTGCCTATTTATCTACTTGCACTTTGACGTGCTTTCGAACTGCTAGGTTGGCAGGAGCAGGGACTGAGCAACGGGAGCTCACCCCGTCGCGGGGATTCGAACCGCCGACCTTCTGATTGGCAAATTCTAGGCTCTGTGGTTTAACCCACAGCGCCAATCAATGGCTTCCCTTCTTGAACCTCTTTCTGTGGTTCATTTTGCATACCATACACCCCTGCATCTTTTACATGAACTAAACCATTCAGTGATCCATTGCTACAACCACCAGAACTTACTTTCAGCGTTGAATTTATCTCAATGCTACCAGTGTTTTTCAATGAACACAATTTTCAGTAAACATTTTCCAAGTCTTCTTTAAACGTGCATTCTTTCTCTTCTCTTATTCTATATGTTAAATCTGCAAGCTGTGCATACTCCATCAGATTAAGTTGCAATTCTTCTTTGGTTGGGACCTCACTCGTTTTCCATTTGGGGGCTAACAAAACACGGGCCGCAGTAGTAGTGTACATAAATAGTCTTTTTTGACACCTGGGAATCTCCCTCTGAATTATCCCCAACAAAAAAGACACTAGTTTTTTTGGAAACGTACTTTTAAACGCCCCCCTTTATATATCATTTCCCAATACCCTTTTACCCTTTCACAAGTCCACCACGTATGATAAAACGTACCCTCAACCTCGTTACATCTCCAGCACTTATCTGATGGATATAGGTTTGATGAGACCTTAAGCTACTGAAGGTCATGGGGCCCTTGATATGTCCAGCTGTCCTTTGTCAACAACAAATTGCCGCTGTTTTTTGTGTTGAATATATGCTATATGGTAATTTATGAACCTAACAGGTATCTCAAGCCATTGGCACGTAAGAAAATTATGTATTTTATCAAAGTAATTGTTGAACTGAAATACAATTAAGAAGAAGTATATTCATAGTAATTTTATAATGGGATCAAAATAAATAAATTATGTATTACATGAAATCAACCAGCATGCATAAGACTCATACCCTTAGTCTATGCTGCCCGATCATCAGTCTGCAAGCACTCTGTAATATTAAATAACAGGTGCAACAGCTTGACCTGCATTCAACTGTGCTGCACTGCAGCCGCATGCCGCATGCCGCATGTTGCCCTGCAACCAGTCCATGCAGAATGTAGGCACCCTATATATAGAAATGTGCAACCCAGTGATATTTGAGGGAGCAGGCTAGCAGGCGGGGTCCATGACTTACATCACAGGAGCCTACACAACACAAAACACTGTTGCTGTATGTAGGTTTCATTTTATTTGTTTTTTATCCTATATTTTGGAAATGTACACCCAGGTTTTTTTCCTTTAAATTTTTTTTGGGGGGGCCCCAAGAGAGTGGGGCCCTAAGCTATAGATTGTTTAGCTTATACGTAAATCCGGCACTGGTTTGCTCCCTTACCCTAATCCTGACTTCATGCAATTTCAGGGTAGTGATGAGGCATTACCAATCCTCCAATGGCAGGGCTGTGCGATGACACTGTTCCATTTTTATTATAGAGAGAGATATCATTAGGTAGAGCACAAAGGATTACTCACCTTGTAATCTTCTGCTGTAGATTTCAACAATCCTTTGTTTTAAAAAGGGAGAAAAAGAAAAGGCAGTGTTCTGTTACAACGGCACTTTCAAATTGTAGATTTGAAAGCAGAGGTCAAACTTATGAACACAAAAAAGCAAGCTTTGGGCATTGACGGAATGTAAATTAATTGATAAGCAATAAAAACAAACGGGACTCCCTCCCCAAAACACACTTTATCCCTGGTTTTTTGTATCCCTCCCCCATCATAAATCACACAAATTTCCTGTTATGGTCCCACCTGTAAACCATCCCAAGAAATCAAGGTAGACCAGACCAGGTAAATTCCCAGGATCAGGACACACCCTCCCATGCGAATCTCTTTCAAGGCGTCTTAATTTTAAAAGGAGAATTATGGGCACACTTTCATCACTCCCATGAAAATGGGCAGGACTTCAAACATTCTTAGCTTGGGTTGGGTAGAAACAGACCCACCAACCTGGATCATGCAAAGGGATTTGCAAAAAATTTATTCGCATTAGCCAATGGCCATAGCAACAGTAAAACATTACAGTATACACAGAAAAGGAAATTTGATATAAGAGCACAATTTAAAGTCCTGAATCAGCCGTCAGTTAGTGGCCCTTACTCTGATTGCCCCTGCTATGAACCTAGCAACCTTTGCTGTTATCTGCTCATTTTGATCTGATAGAAGAAAGGCCATTGTGGCAGTGGTTGAGCGCCCTGGGATGGTTAGTATGAGTGGAGTGATGATCTCGTTCCTCATGTCTTTGTAGAGAGTGCAAGACAGGAGGACGTGTGCCGCTGTTTCGGTGCTACCATCTCCACAGGGGCAAAGACGTTTCTCAGACGGGATCTTTTGGAATCGACCCTCAAGTACCGCAGATGAAGAAGAAGAAGAGTTTGGATTTGATATCCCGCCTTTCACTCCCTTTAAGGAGTCTCAAAGCGGCTAACATTCTCCTTTCCCTTCCTCCCCCACAACAAACACTCTGTGAGGTGAGTGAGGCTGAGAGACTTCAAGGAAGTGTGACTGGCCCAAGGTCACCCAGCAGCTGCATGTGGAGGAGCGGAGATGCGAACCCGGTTCCCCAGATTAGCAGACTACCGCTCTTAACCACTACACCACACTGGCTCCCAAGATGGCAAGACATGCAGTTTTGCAAGTGCAAAAGCACGTCTGTATTTTGGGATAATAAGTTTGTGCAGATAAGGGGCCAGAGAATCAAAATGGAGAGGTGGAAAATGAACATACCAAGGGCAGAATTTCCTTATAGTGGCCAGGTTGTTCTGATGCTTGATATCTTTTAGACGTTGACCAATTAAGACTGTTTGCTTTAGTAGGGTCCATGGTGAGTAGGTGTTGTGGGGATAAGGCCACAAGAGTGAAGTTTTTGATAGAATCATAGAGTTGGAAGAGACCACAAGGGCCATCGAGTCCAACCCCCTGCCAAGCAGGAAACACCATCAGAGCACTCCTGGCATATGGTTGTCAAGCCTCTGCTTAAAGACCTCCAAAAAAGGAGACTCCACCACACTCCTTGGCAGCAAATTCCACTGTCGAACAGCTCTCACTGTCAGGAAGTTCTTCCTAATGTTTAGGTGGAATCTTCTTTCTTGTAGTTTAGACTTAAGCCAGGTAATTTTATGGGAGTCTTGAAGTACTAGGGATAGTAAACCGGGGGGATATGAGTTTAGGCGGAGCCAGAAGTTAAGAAGTTCTTTGGAGGGATTTGAAAAGTGTCTGGAGCTCAGAGATGGGCAGGGGAAGAGCATACCAACTGGCAAGGTCAAAAAGTTACTGGAGCAATCTCTTCTAGCCTGCTTGTCAATCCAGACGTACGTGTCTCTGGAGACACCTTTTAGCTTCCAGTTCTTAAAACAGCGTATTTAGACGGGGGTCCCACCTGACCAATCAGTTTTGGAGGGGGGGGGAGCAGAAGGTGCTGCTTTCAGCTCCAGGCTGAATCCTTCTTGTACCACCTGGGTGCAACCAGGGTCGTTGCTCAGTGGTGAGAAACAGCACAGAGAGAGAGAGAGAGATCACAGAAAAATCTGTCCCAGGCCCTTCCATGAGAATGACAGGCAAAGCATTTAGGAAACTGTGCATTGATCCAATTATAGCTCCAAAATTTAATCCGCACGAAAATGCAAAGTAAAAAAACAAAGTGTTTATTTACTATTCCAGGATCACGCCCCCAAGTATACTAACCCAACACATTAGTCCGAGAAATCCTATTAGGAGAGATTATTCTTCTCCTGTTGACAAACCTGATTTGGAGCCACAAGGGGCTTTAAATAAAATAGGACAAAGAGAAGGTGTGGGGGTTTTTGTGCAAAGTTATCTGGGCTTCCTTGCCAGCAAGGTGGGCGAAGCGAAAGCCAGCTTTGGCTAATCAATGAAGTAGCAAAATGAAAGCACGGACTTCTCAAATTTGCTGTCTCCCCTAAATCAGCCCCCAAAGCTCCAAGGTCAATGGAGGCTGCAGTCTTGGAAACCTCCATAGCTACTGACTGCAAGAATACCGGCTTCACGGTATTGTTACAGGTTTGGGGGAGGTCGTTCTGGGTGGAAACCAGGTTCACATCTGTGATCCTGTTTCTGTGAGGCTAGAGGAAAGGCCATCTGCCACGGATGCTTTAGCAGAGATTCCTGCATTGCAAGGGGTTAGACTAGATGACCATCGGATCCCTCTCCAACTCTACAATTCTACAAACGCTGCCGAACCTTAAGCAGAGGGCTTAAGGTCCATGAATAATCATAGTTTAGAGGTCCAGGGCCCTAAGGAAGTCAGATTATCCTCCCCAGGGCCAGGGCCTTCTCAGTGATGGCTCCGACCTGGTGGAATGCTCTGTCCCACGAGACCAGGGCCCTGCAGGATTTAACTTCCTTCCGCAGGGCCTGTAAGACAGAGCAATTCCGCCTGGCTTTCAATTTGAACCTAGCCTGATCTTTTATTCCCCTTCCTTCCCTCCCCTTTTTATGAAGATTACCCGCTCTGGGATCCCTCAGCTAATTCTCCCCTGGTCTCCTCGCTGGCCCAAATAGGACTAATTTAGCCAGCTAGCCCTGGTGATCATCTAATGTTTATTGGATGGATTTCCCCCCTAAATTGATTTTTTAATTCTGAATTTATTGTTATTCATGTTTTATACTGTATTTTATGCTGTTTTTTGTTGCATCAATTAAGTGTTTTAAATTGTAGCGCAGGGCAGCAGGTTGGTGAAGACTTTGTTGTTGTTGTTGTTTAGTTGTTTAGTCATGTCCAACTCTTCATGACCCCATGGACCAGAGCATGCCAGGCACTCCTGTCTTCCACTGCCTCCCGCAGTTTGATCAAACACATGCTGGTAGCTTCGAGAACACTGTCCAACCATCTCATCCTCTGTCGTCCCCTTCTCCTTGTGCCCTCCATCTTTCCCAACATCAGAGTCTTTTCCAGCGAGTCCTCTCTTCTCATGAGGTGGCCAAAGTCTTGGAGCCTCAGCTTTAGGATCTGTCCTTCCAGTGAGCATTCAGGGCTGATTTCCTTCAGAATGGATAGCTTTGATCTTCTTGCAGTCCATGGGACTCTCAAGAGTCTCCTCCAGCACCAGAATTCAAAAGCATCAATTCTTTGGTGATCAGCCTTCTTTATGGTCCAGCTCTCACTTCCATACATCACTACTGGGAAAACCAGAGCTTTAACTATACGGACCTTTCTTGGCAAGGTGATGTCTCTGCTTTTTAAGATGCTGTCTAGGTTTGTCACTGCTTTTCTCCCAAGATTGCTCAGTTTTTTGTTTTTGTTTTTTTAATGACACTAGGCCAGGAATTAGAGCAAAAGGAAAGAAGCAGCTCTCAAAAGCGAGACCAAGTTGTGTGTTGCATGCGTACGAAGGGAACGGCAGTGGGTGTGTGGGTGGGGCTGTGGTGCACGAGGCCTTTCGACCCAAAGCAGTACACCTGCGAATTAATGCAGTTCAGTTTCCAAGGAAAAGGAGAAAGCCCCAAAGGGCAGCTGTCGGCACAAACGTCGAGCCATATCGCAGAGCTTGGCATCTGCCATTCACGTGTCCATTGAGGTATAGTTAATATCAAAGCTCTGCGTGAATGAGCAGAAAAGCAGAAGAAGAGGCCTACTGGATCAGATCAGGAGGCATACTGCGCCCATCAACGCCTGTCCAGCAGGAGCCCACCGGGAGGCAATAAACCCCTCTCTCTGCTCCGGTTCCCAGCAAGCGAGATTCAGAGGCCTGGTCTGTATGTGATGCTTCTCTGCGCACCAGGGGCAGGAAGGCCTCCAACAGAGATAGGGAAATCTCTGAATCTCTAGGGAGCAGCTGCAAGTCAGTGTAGGCAGCACTGAGTTACCGTATTTTTCGCTCTATAGGACGCACTTTTTCCCCTCCAAAAATTAAGGGGAAATGTATGTGCGTCCTATGGAGCGAATGCAGGCTCCTTGGCTTCAGAGATAGCAACGCGAAGCCTCCAAAGCTCTCCGGAGGCTTCGCGTTGCTTTCGCTGAAGCCTGGAGAGTCTGGTCTTTGAGGCTGGTGTTGGGGGAAAACTCTTGGGGGCTTTTCCCAGAGGAGGGAGAAGGGACTGACTGGCCGTGTCAGTCCCTTCTCCCTCCTGGTTGAAAAGCCCGCAGGAGCCGCACACGGATCCTGTGGGCTTTTGAGGGAGATGTTCCCCCACCTCCCGCAATAGCAGCTCCGCTGCTCCCAGAGCTGGGGGGGAGAATCATATTTTTTTCCTTGATTTCCCCCTCTGAAAACTAGGTGCGCCCTATGGTCAGGTGCGCCCTATGGAGCGAAAAATACGGTAGGTGACTCGGTATAAGCCAGCTTCCTGTGTCCCCAGAAGTCTCATAAGTCCTCTGTGCCAGCATAGCAGATGGAGTGTGTGTCCGAGTTAAAATAACCAGCTAACCGACTGGTTAGCGAAAATGATTAAATATTTACATACAGTGGACCCTCTGGATACAAACTTAATTCATTCCGGGGGTCCGTTCGCACTCCGAAAATAACGTAAATACAGTGGTGCCTCG